CCTTAAGATCTCGCCCTTATCTCGCATCGGGCATTGTCGCTCGCGTCGGCTGACAGCGCCGTAGGGCTACCGAGAAAGATAAGGAAGGTAAGAAACGAAGACGCAGAACGAAGAACCGAGGGAAAGATCCACCCGCGGAGATCGAGAGATCCGAAGGAGATGACGACGACAACGTCGACGTCGACGATGAGAGGACACCGTTGAACGAAGGACGAGATCGGATGTCTCGCGAGTCCGACCAGCGGATGTGTGCTCGAGATCGGTTCACGATCGCGCTCGCGATCGAGGACCAAGACCGACGCCCGTCACTTGTCCTCTCCGTAGACAAGTTGCGTCCGGCAGATTCTACAATTACTCGAGCGTCTTTTGCGAACTTACTCCACGCGCTTTTAACCTCGAGACGCGCGCTCGTGACTCCGTATTTCTGCTTATCGATGTTGCAAGAGAGTGTTTTTTTCAACTTATTTTGACGCATATCGTATATCAGCGTAAGAATATCCACAGAAAGAGGAGAGGGGAAAAAAAAATGACGATCGGAGACATCGGTGTGAAATGTTATATCTCCTCGTGTAATTTATTTTTATTTATCACTTAGCCAAAATGCGGAGGTATAGAAGGTCAATCTTTAGTGCATTAAAGGACAAGGTTTTTTTCATAGCATATGTCAAGTGACAACCGGTTCGGCTGTTTCTAGTATTAAAATATAGCTGACGTTACGGCCCGTGCCGGCTGCTCGTTTCCACGGGCGTTTATGACAAAGTCGCGACGACGGAGCAGCTGCGCGATAAATAATTTATTCCCGATTTCGGTGAACATGCTCCCAGCTGTAAATAACGTCGCCGACAACCTCGAAGCCTCGCGCGATACACGCCTCGCGGGAATAGGCTCGGTTAGCCTTCGCACCAGCGTGCTGAAAAAGAGATTGCAAGTTCGCCGTGGGATTCACACGACGATCGGAGAGGACGTCCAATCCATGATTTCCGGTTTGCTCATCGTCACATAAATTGTTGTGCCGAATGGGCATCGGTTCGTACGTGGACGGACAAAACCGCACTGCCATTCGCGGTATTGGCCACATGTACCACACAGGTTCCAAAGAGATCGGCACGTTTTGGAACGGCTGAAAGGTGTACCGTCCCAATGCCGAGTAACATACTAACCGGGTATCCCACAGCGCAAACCTGTCAAAGGTGTCGCGATGCCGAAAAACATAGAGACACTAAGAACGCGAAGGATGCGCGCTGCTCGCACACTCTGAGAATCCACGATCGCCCATATTTGGATAACCAATGGTACGATCGAGTCAATTTACCTTTATCTTTAAAAATCTCGAGTCTTATCCTAAGTATAATATACTCCAGATGAGACATAATTCACTTCGAAATCTTCATAAAACTCATAACTTCTAATATTCACATTCAATTCTGAAGACATTTAGTATCATAGATAAAAAAATTTTAGAACCTCGTTTCGAATCGCAATATCTTTCGGAGCATTAGACCGACGAAGATTTACAGCGGATAGAAGTTCCGCGGCTAACGGCGGAGCTCATCCAATCCTGAAGATCGATTCGCGCACGGGAAAACGGATTTGTCGGAAACCGCGCGGGAGCGCCGCGAGGAGATGGCTGAATTTCTCAAAGTCGCATCGTCGGATACGCGAATGTATTTTGACAATCGCGCATGTATGTGCGTACGCGTACGCGAAACACATGTATATATATATATATATATACATATATATTGGCAGCATTTTTCAGCTTCTTTAAAACGAGTGCCCGACCAATGCCTTCGTCGTTTCTTCGGACGATGCGCGCGTTTGAGGTTCGATCGTATCATTGCCGGGGAAGGTACCTCCCTGCGACATCGTGAAAGCTGGTTCGTTTTGGTTTCCCGGGATCGTATATTGCGAATTTAGTGGGAAGTCGGGACCGTCGGATCGATCGTAGCTGGATCCTTCGCCCGATGCTTCGTTCCGTCCCCCAGCCGTCCCGTCCCGTCCCGTCCCGTCCCGGCTCCTCGCGCTGCCCTTTTCCTTTTTTTCTTTATATCGACGTACGTATTCCGTGCCGCTTGTTTTTATCGGCACGAATGGGACTTTATGATGTCCCGTCACACTGCCGTGCCGCTCTCCGCGAGCTCTCCTCTCTTCGCCGTCCCGCGCAACCGTCATCTTGCGATTCCCGTCCGGATCGGATTTTTATATTGAGAAGAACGCGGAACAACCATCCCGAATCCTGCGAGGACTTTCTCAACCGCAAAATTACTCGCTCGGCTCCCTAACTTTTGCTGATTTCGCGCGGATACAAATTCTCTCTCTCTCTCTC